GTTCTGAAACTGTGCAGGTACCCTCAAGTCATTATGGCTATGAGATACACCAAGTTTGGTCTGAATACACTAAACCGTTACTGAGATATAGCCTCATGTCCTTTTCGGTGTGCTCACTGTCAACTTTGTTTGCATGTTATTTGAGAATGGTTTGTTCTATCAAAAAGCTTTTAATAAATTTTTGCCAGCATGGTCTAACAATGATCTGAGTCAAATTTGTTGAAGATCCAATGAACGTCTAGGACGATTTCAAAAAAATACATTTTTCAGAAAATTCAAAATCTAAGCGGAAATTGAAACCAAATTGAAACGAGCCAAGGAATCAGAGGAAAAAGAATTTTGTTTCTAGCCCTTACAGTTCAGAAGTTATTAGCATAAATGAGTGCAAATTTGAGTGGTTGGTGGCCCTAGAGGGTTTGAGATAGTGAATCCAAATTTGCAGTGGTAACATTTCTGACTGTCCCCTATCTGTGTGCCAAATTTCATAACATTCCTTTGTACGGTTCTATGGGCTGTCATAGACTACAAGAGCGGAATATAACAATAATAATAATAATAATAATAATAATAATAATGATAATAATGAATACAATAGGTGTCTATGCACCTTTCTGCCTTCTGTTTTGTGTTCAGTAAGTGAAAGGTATGCTCAGTTGGGTTGAGTTCATCTGAAATTTAAGAATATTTAATTTCTTTGCCTTAAGAAGCCCTTGGGTTGCTTTTGCGGTATGTTTTGGGTCATTATCCATCTGTACTGTGAAGTGCCTTCCTATCAGTTATGCAGCATTTGACTGAAGCGGAAAGTATAGCTCTATACGCTTCAGAATTCATCCTGCTACTACTATCAGCAGTCACATCATCAATAAACACCAATGACCCAGTTCCACTGGCAGCCATACAAGCCCAGGCCATAACACTTCAGAATCCAGAATATGTGCATATGTCACTTAAAATTTTGAACTGTTAGCGATACTAATTCAACAAAAGATTATTAAGCGCCAGTGAGCGCCAAAGCACAATTAACCCTTTATCGCTCATAGGAGATCCACTTTAGGAGAAATGTCCCTCCCCAGCTGAATTGGAAGTTTTGATTGGTTTTTCAACCGAGTCTGTTATTGCCTGTAGTGCTGGGTCACTGCCCCAGTAGTTTGAAAAGTGCCGGGTCAAATGCCAGCTCGCCCCTGTTGCTCCGGTGGCCCTGTCAAGAGTGTTCTTGACTTGGCTAGATGTTGTGAAGGGGTTTTTCTTCAACAAGGAAAGAATTTTGCATTCATCCACTTTAGCTGTCTTCTGTGGTCTTCCAGGCCTTTTGGTGTTGCTGAGCTCGGCAGTGCATTCCTTCTTTTTAAAATGTACCACATTGTTGATTTGGCCACTCCTAAAGTTTCTGCTATCTCTCCAATAGCTCTGTTTTTTTTTTCAGCCTAATGATGGCCTCCTTCACTTGCATCGACACCTCTTTGGACCACATATTGAGAGTTCCCATGAACAGCTACCAAATGCAAATTCAACACTTGGAATCATCTCCAGACCTTTTATCTCCTTAATTTATCATGAAATAATGGGGAAATGGTTCACACGTGGCCATGAAACTGCTTATCAGTTAGTTGTCCAATTACTTCTGAGCCTGTGAAAATGGAGGGACTCTGTAAAAAAATGGCTGTAATTCCTAAATGGTTAATACAGTATTTTTGTTAAACCCCTTGAATTAAAGCTGAAAGTCTACACTCCAATCACATCTCGATTGCTTCATTTCAGATCCATTGTGGTAGTGTACAGAGGGAAAATTACGAAAATTGTGTCACTGTCCAAATACTTATGGACCTGACTGTAATTTAATTGTGATTGGTTGGGTCACTATTCAGTCAGTCCAAAATAACCAATACCTCAACATGCTATTCATCTAAAAATGCTGTTTTTATTTTTTACCTCACAGATTTGTGATTGTCACAGGCTAAATTCCTGGCATGTAAACGTGCACAGAGCTGCGGGAGACAGAACCACTTGGCCGCAGAATGCGGGGGAAAAGTGCGCGTGTCTCCCGTGGCTGCTATGCTTCTGCCTACAGCGATCGTGAGGAAACGAAGCCGCTTGCGCGCATTTTTGGATTGACCCAGATGCGCGCGCTCCTCTCAGGATGTGTTATGATGTCAGCGCTACATGAGCCCCGATTGGACACCGAGCAGAGCCCAAGTTGTTGTACCTCACCTGTCTGCGAGCGCGCTTCTGTCGCCACTTTTCTTTACCTGAAGCCGACGGAAGAGCGGTGCAAGAGACCCAGTTACAATGTCGTACGTGCTGCTGGAGCTGCTGCTGTTGGTGGCGTTTGCGGACGCCGCGCGTGCCGAGCTCGTGTTCCGCTGCCCAAGCTGCAGCGCCGAGCGCCAGGCGGCATGTCCCGCTCTCACTGCCGAGAGCTGCGGCGAGATCGTGCGTGAGCCGGGCTGCGGCTGCTGTCCCGTATGTGCACGCCGGGCCGGAGAACTGTGTGGTGTGTACACACCGCGCTGCGCCAGCGGCCTTCGCTGTTACCCCGAGCCGGACTCAGAGCTGCCGCTCGAGCAGCTAGTGCGCGGCCTCGGTCGCTGCGCGCTCAAAGCGGACGCGGAGCCCAGCACAGGGAGCGCTGAACTGAGCGGTGAGTGATCCATCCATCAGTTCGACATAAATTCGGGATGTACGCATGGATTCGCTGATTCTGCGCCAGGCTTCACTGCACGACTTTAATAGTGCGTGTAAAAGAGTCGCATTATTTTCTAAAACTGACGTTGTTACATATTTTTTATTAAAAAAATTTAGCGGATAGGTCGAAAGTACAAAATAACCATCCTTAGCTTGCTGACATCTTGGCTAACAGTATATGTAGAGTGGTGGCTAATGGCCAAAATTCCTGAAACTGGGGCGACCAACTATATAAGAAAAAAAATCAATAAGCTATATTCTCTTCAGAAAATTGTATTAATTAAAAGCTATAAGGAGATTTTCATGTAAGTTTGTCGCTTCACTTCTAATTTTGCATATTTGTGAGTATTTCGGCATTTCACGCCCTGTACCGAAAGAATGACCATGTCAGCACTTTAGTCCGGTGATAAGCAAAGCATTGATTTGACCTGAATTTTCTGGCCATTTTCAGGCAAGGCACATTCAGCTCAACAACTTAAATGCAGAAACTGTAGTTGTAACATTTATACGTGTATTTATACGTCTTCTGCATGTGTCTGAAAATTGTGTACTGTTATCTTTTGCTGTTTGAATATATTCTTGCTTATTTCTATAGCAAAACATAGAGATTGATTAGCAAGGTGGACTTTGTACTTTGGCCCTGTCTTCTTGTAAATTTTTCACAGTGGGTGTTAAAGGAGTGTGGTTTGCGAGAAATCCCTACCAATGTGCCCTGTAGTTTATGTTGTGTAGAGGACATGTCAGAGTAAGAGAGGAAAAAAGCACACTTCCTGGGAGTGACAGACTGGATCACATTAATGTTGGAGCTGACATCTGGTACGAACATGGTGCGACAGAGCATTTTTGCACATTCAGGTCTTACTCTGCATCTCATGATTGTAACAGAACTGACATAGTGCTGAGTTTCTCTGTAGTTGTTTGCCCTTCAAATTAGAGTCTTACAGTCCAGTGTACTCGGAGAGACTCATATGCCTCATATGGAACAAAGCTGTGAAGTATTGTATCATTGTACCATTTAATTGCATGAGGTTTCTAAGGGAAACAAATGCCTATTCTTATAAAAGGATTGTGATGAAAAGAACAAGATTTATATGTCAGTGCTGTTTATATGACTTTTTTCAGTTTGACAACACTTTGTAATTGTGTTCAGTTATTGTAGTAAGATTTTTTCCCTAATCACTTTACACATAATATACAAAGCAAGACTTGCTCTCAGTATAACACTATTGTGTTGCTGTGATCACTGAAGAATTGAAAGTGCTTTGTTAAAAACTCCTGGTCAAAAAATGTTTATTGTGCTTGTTGGGTTGTTCTTCATATAAAGAGGACCCAATGGTCATCATTGGACCAAAAAAAAAAAAAAACAGGCCTCACACAGCCCCTGGCCACCTGGGAGAGCAGCTGAAAACTATGTGACCCGCTTAGGAGGTATATTCAGATGTCTGGTGAGAAAGGTTGGACCGAAAATAGTCCAAAATAATCCCCCTGCTTTCTTTAAGAGCAGGTATGGCTGGCATCCCCGCTGGGTGGTTCAGCAACTTGGACGCCAAAAATCTCACTGCACTGGGCTCCAAAATAAACTTGCAAGCTCCCTGCAGCAGCTTGGAGATAACACAAACAATGTCACAAATGTTATTGAGCTGTGTAAGGCTGGGGGTGAAGTGTGTGTGTACAGCAGAACCGAGGGGCTCAACAGAATTTGCAGAGGTCTTTTGTGTGATCCCCTTGCATGGCTATTTGCATGACCAGGCTTAAGATGACAGCCATTTTCAAGTGTGTAGACCATTAGTGTAGGAAAAAGAGTGTTTTGTATGTCAGGTAGTAACAAGTGTTCCTCCTGCATTCATATAGTGGCTTGATTTATCGTTTAGCTCTCAGTAAGCCTCAGATGGCTCATAGCAACAAGGCTGCGCTATGTTGTCAGCATGCTTACTTACTCCTTCTGTTTGGGACAAAATGACAAAATAAAGTGGAACAATACTAAAAAGATTTTGCAAGTTTTTAAGGATTTTAAAGATTCTACACTCAGTGGTCAGTAATCAGGGGTCCAAGCACCAAAGATTGTTCCAAACACAGGTAGGTCCCTGTTGTTTTTGTTAGGATTTTTAAGGAACCAAGCACATAGTGCTTGGAGCCCTATTGTTATTATATTTTTTTTATATTATCCAGTGAAAATTCTTTTTGCTACTTATTCCTTGGGTTCTCTCAAACAAAAAAGCCCCTAGAACTATTTAGCTCCACCTACTTAGATTTTTTTAAAGCTAATTTGCATAATTTACCTTTATAATATAAAATACCTACTTTTGAGAACTTGAGGGTCCCTGGAGGATTAGTGGTTAGGCCTCAGCGCTCCCACCGCCGCGGCCCGAGTTCAATTCTCAGCCAGGGAACCAACCCCAGCCACTGGGGTTGCAGAAGACAGTGCACTTCCAGTGCTGGTCCCAGGCTTGGATAAAATTGGGGAGAGCTGCTTCAGGAAGGGCAAGAAAACTTATCCTACGATTTTTGTCCTAGCTTCACAATTTTGGTTTCGAGCTACTCAGCAGAGTGTGTCCCTCAATAATTATCAAAACCATATTGACATTTGTAAAGAATACGGCCCCCACATGTCAGTCAATGAAGCAGAGCATAATTGACTCATACAGCGCTAACTCATGACTTTTTGCATGGATTTACACGAAACTTGAACTTTGTATACAGGAGATTCTGAGGTCATGTGCAAAGTTTGGGATGTGGTCATGCATAAGGAGCAGAGCTAAGGTTAGATAACTTGGTATACTGCATCTATATGCTAATCTGCAAGTGGATCTTTGACAATGACCTGGTTACTTAAGAAACTTGGCTGCCATTGGTCAATCAGCTTTCAGCAGACATTTGACAAGGTAAACATTGAGCTATTGTCATGAAACCTGAAATTATTGTCCCTCTAAGGACCCCCTAGTAAATGATATCGATCTTGGCCTCTGGGGGGTGCTATTTGTTTTTGCACATAAAAACAAGCCTATCTAAACATTGAAACTTCTTTTTTCCCATGCTTTGTCTCCTTACCCCCTTTATGCCTTTTGGACCATTTAGCTCTGCTCATGCACATTTTTTATAATTTGCTTAATATGCAAAACCTACTTTTGAGAACTTATTCTAGGATTTTTGTCCTAGCTTCACAATTCTGGTGTCGAACTACTCAGTAGAGTGTGAAACTCAATAATTATCAAAAGCATGTTGATATTTGTAAACAATATGGCCACCAGATGTCAGTCATTTCTAATGAGGCAGAGTCCAATTTACGTAAACAGCTAGAAGACAGGGTTATCTTTGAAATATTGCCACCAAATTTGGTCCCACTCCCTACTCAGCCAAATGAAATGACACATATCCACCAGAAGGGGATGTACGTATGTACTAAAAGAGCTGTATCTTCTAAATGCAAAGTAGAATTGTTACGAACTTTACAATACATAGTCAATAGGGCACTCTCTAGCCACACCTCAAATTTCATTGGCCCATAAGGGGCGCTATAAAAATGCCTAAATTTCTTCAACTGTCTGACATACAAAGATGAAATTTGCTCTGTTTTTGCTTGGTCAATGAATATTTCTAATGAATATATTTGGGGATGAAAAATAGCCTACCAAAAACTGTATACTCAGAAATGGCAGACTTTTGGACCCTGGTGTGTTTGCGTGTGTGTGTGCGCATGTGTGTGTGCATCACCAGGAGAGAGATGGGAGTCTATGGACATGTTTGTTCTTAGGACAGATTTTGAGTTTAACACCTCTGGTTTATATGGATCCTAATCTAGACATTCTGTCTAAAATCTTTATATAAAGCTATCCAAAACTATGTACATGCATAGAGCAAGGTTTAGGGATATTTATATCTGAATTGATTAACACCAATAACCCACTCTGAATGTCACATAGGATGATTCTAGGAGAAAGAAGGGCACATAGTGCCTATTCTGCTTGAGTGTGATTAGTGTGTTCAGCTTTTAATCCATACCAATGTTTGAATGAATTGTAAATTGTTTCCCATCTTATGAAACATTATACTACTGTGATTATTAAATGGACAGGCATGTGCTATTCATGTTTTCGCACACAAAACCAAGCATATGTTTTGGAAAATAACGTGTACAGTGAAATTTCTCTTTTAGTCAGTCCATACAAAATTGCCTTCTCAAGCATTTAGCTCTGACCATTCAAATTTGTGATAATATGTGATAATATAATATATGTGCAACCTAATTTTTGCATTAGGTAGGATCTCACAATATTGGTGTTATACTACTCAGGACAGTGTTGCTCTCAATAATTAACAGAGAAGTGCTGCGAATTGTAAACAGTCTGGATGCCCATGTAACCCCATCTGTTATTTCATCAACGAGTTCCAGAAGGAATACACGGGGATGACATGTTGAGCTCGTGAAAGCAGTGCAGTGAGTTTACTGGAATATAGTAGGAAACACCACAACAGATAAAATTACCATCTCTCTGTTCATAGCATTCACCTTGACAGTGAACTCTCGACTCATGATACAATAGTAAATTAACATTTTCTTTTCTCTTTTTTTTTCTTCAAAGAATTGAACTCATAATTTTTTCAATTAAATACAAAAGACATTACACAAACAGGCAATAATAAGTAATACTATAGCATACCAGGAATATAGTAGGAAACACCCCAACAGATAAACTTATCATCTCTCTGGTCATAGCAGTAAATAAAATATAAATAAAATAAAACACTTGCACTTGCATCCGCCAAGTTCTCCCTCCATGTGCGAGTTACACAAACAAACCACAATATACTTAAACTTCAAGCTTTACAAATTACACAGGCTTTGATAAATTCTAACATGAAATAACATGAATTACATCAGTCTCAAAAATACCTTCAATTAAAATGGAAACAAAAAAAAATATATGTATTACAGCATATTAGCCAGAGAGATAAAATTACATACCATTCACCTTGACAGTGAACTCTTGACTGACGAGAAAATGGCCGACCTCCCATGTTACACTCATTACCTGTAGATGTCCCACCCCCTTTTCCCAATATCTCGTATGCTATAGGATGAACGAACATAATGTATGAGCAGCCATTTTGGTGAGGTTCATAACCTATTTACATTCTCTGTTACACCCACACCTCAATCAGTTTTAAGGAGGTGGAGTTGATTTCTTCAGATAACTGTAATTCATGATTGTTCATATTGAACCAAACGTGGAAGACATGTTTACTACAATGGCCTGAGGATGTCTGCAAAGGTCTTCCTTAGAGTTAAGTCCAAATAACTGTCTCTCAGAAACCAAAAGTCCAGTTGAGCTGAAATTTGGTGTGCTGCCTTCTTGTGCTAATCTCTAAATGCATTTTATTTACCATTGGATTACTTCAAGAACACGGAGTAATGCAAATTGGTACCAAATTATTCAGCAGCCTCTGACCGTCACAAAAACATTTTGAGATTTTTAACCAGTTTCGTCGCCAAATGCTAATCAGACCTATTGGGCTCGGCCTTGTTTTACTCAAGCAGCTGTTGCTCAGTACTGGTTGCATGCATTTACATGAAATCTGAAAGCCATATTCAAGGCAAGATCATTTTGCATAGATTGTGGCATAATCATTGTTACGGGGTGGAGTTAAATTTCTTTCATTTTACAGTTGCTTATTGATTCTATTCTGAATGTATCCAAATGTTTAAACACCTGTTTAACAGGTGATGATAACATGCCATGCCTCTTTGATGTATTTGCACCAACAGGAAATCCAGTTCAATTCTATAGTCAACAGGATTTATATCGTGTCCTTTTTATTGTTACTTTAATACAATGTGTAATATCATATTACACCATAAGATGGCAACATCTGTCTATACATCTGACCTTAGTTCGGTTTCACATTGCAGAGTTTCAACAGGTCAGCTTTATTGTGATGAATTGATGTTTTATATGTATGCTGTGCTGTAGTTTTAGTGCTGTAGAATTTTAGTGGAGATTTTATTATTATTATTATTGTTGTTGTTGTTGTTGTTGTTATGAAGTAATATAGTGCAGATATGTATGAGATGTAGTTTGTACATTTAATACCAGAATACCAACACATTTAACTGATTATCAGTTAGCTTTATTGTACTTTAAATTTTATTTATTTATTTTTATTTTATACTATGCATTACAAGTGGAATATTAATATTCAATAAACAGATTATAATTAAGATAATTAACATTTGGGTTTACAAAGAAATAATTATCTTATTTATATAATTAAAATATCCTTTACGTTTAACACAGAAAATACTGAATACTATGAAGCAAAACCCACAGAGAACGACACGTGGACTGCTTAGTATACTGCTTAGTATATAATATCCATCCAATCAAATTGATAGAAAAAAACAGCTTTGCACATGCTTATGATTAGATAATAAACACATTAAAATCACATACTGTGTAAGAGAAATCAGTAGCATTGTAGGACATACACCGACTGTAAAAAGTGTTTCAGTATTGTCACAAGAATTGAACTTTACAACAACTTTAGATGATGGACTTATGATCCATATGTTTAGATTTATGTTGTTTTCCCTTCCACAGAACTGAAGTCATTGCAGTAATTTCTCTGTGAGTGTGGACATGTGATTGTGTGTGGTTTCTGGAGGTCTTCAAAAATGTGGTGTCCCTATAGTACCTTCTTTGTTGAAAATGGAACTATGGATAACATTCTTTGTCCTCAGTACTAACTAAATACAAGGAAAAAATGTTTTCTTAATGTACTCTCTGTCTTATCTCTTCCATGGTCCGCTTGTAATATGTGCTCATGAAAAGTGGTGTAAAACTACTTTGAAAATATAATCAAATACAGGTCCAATTTTAGTGCTGTAAAAAAAAAAATTAAGAAACAATGTGCATGTCAGACACAAAGCTGATATGTGAAATCCATCAATTGAACTTCAGATTTAAGCTACATTTAAGAAACTTTAAAGCAACTTGAACCAATAGCCACACTAGTAACAATTTTTGGAATACATATGCTGAATATAAATCTTAAAATAGAAATGTATTTTTCTGAAATGTTATTTTTTTTCTGTCAGAGTCATGTTTGTAAGTCTAATCCACAGTGGAAAATAGACTTTACACTATATAATACTTTTACACTAGAAATATAGATTTGCCTGGAAAGTAGCAATACACATTACTGATAAACAATTTTTATCTAGTGTTCACCTCAGCATGAACCCAAGTTCTGTAGGTGTTGAAAGGCTGAATACATTTGAATAGATAGCTACAGGTGAAGATGATAGCCAGGGTACCACGAAAGTGGGTTCTCACACAATTTCCAATATTTGGTCGAAACCATTCTCCTGTAAATTGAATAACACAGTCATTAT